GGCACATAACAACAACAACAACTAAGTTATTATGCAAATCAGAAGAGGAAAGCAGACCCACAGAAAATCAGGAAAACAAATGTTTATAGGTTTTATGATAAATACATTTAATATTTGCAGTTTGGGTTTGTTTTGTTTTGTACTTCTAGTTTTTTTCCCTCCTGCTGCTTTTTCTTCCTTTGGTGAAATACCCAAAATGTAAGTATTAAACCAAATGAACTCCAGTGACCTAGTGGGTAAGGAGCTGTGCTACTCGCCGAAAGTCATACGGTTTGAATCCCTTAGGTGCTCATTACGAGAAAGATAGACAGTCTCCTCCAGTGCAGCTTACAGCTTCTGAGAAACTGACTGAATTTGTTCCAGTTTGACAGCACGTTACAGCAACATTAAACCAAAACCCAAAGCTGCTGCCATTGAATCTGTTCCAACTAGTGGTGACCTTAATCAGGTTCAGAGGTTGTAAATCTTTTGTGGACAGGACTCCCCATCTTTTTTTCCTCTAACAAGTAGTAGATTTGAACTTGGGACCTTTCAGTAATTTTCCTGTAACACATTATATTACCAGAGCTTCTTAGGCACTGTATTAAAAAGAATAAAAATAAAACTATGGTGGAAAAATTAGGTTCTGCTAATAATTTAAGTAAGGTAATCACTTTTGGATAAAGAATTGTGTTGTCAACACAGAGGTATGTAATTCTGATCCACCAGCAGAAAAATGGGCAATTTCCTGGAAGATTTACAGTCTCTGAAAACCTAGTGGAGGGTCACCTATGAGATGATTCTGACTTGATAGCACATAGCAAAAACAGTTAGTAGGGAAGATCTATGGTATTTATTTGCCTTCATAGGTCATTTGGCACTGTCAACCCAAAGGTGAGTGGAAATAAGATGGACAGTCTCCTTCCATGTAATGTACAACCTCTGAAAATCCACTGCAGGGCAAGCAAGGAGTCAGTACCAACTTGCAAGTTTTTGATTTATAACAATTTTATCTTAGTTGGATCCACAATCAGTACACTTGGTGTGAGCAGTCAGGAGATATATTGCACTGAGAAAGTCTCTAGTCAGGGAGTTCTCCAAATGATTATCAACCGTGATGCCATTTTAAAGACTAAGGTGCACTTGATTCAGGCCATGATCTCTTCAGTCTCAGGCTGTGCATCTGGAAACTAGACAGTGATCAAGGATGACAGAAGAATTGATACCTTTGAATTGTGGTGTTGGAGAAGAGTGCTGAGTCCATGGGCTGCCAGAAGGAAAAAAAACAAGACATGTCTTGGAGAAGATGCAGCCAGAGCACTCCTTGGAGGCAAAGATGATGAAGTTTCAGCTCACTGTTTTGAGCATGTTGCTAGGAGAGGTTATTTCCTGGAGAGGGACTTTATCCTTGTCAAGGTGGAAGTATGGTGAGGAAGAGGAAGACCTTCACACAGTGACTGTAGCAATGAGCCTAAGGGTATGGAAGACTTTGAATATGGCACAGCAGGCGTAGAATAGGGTGCAGATCTGTTGTTCATCAGGTCACTCGGAGCTGTACTCTACAACAACAGCATCATAGTATGTATTGCTTTATTTACTTTGTCCAGAAAGTTTAACAGTTGTTGCTGTGTACTGTCAAGTCAGAACCAACTTATAACTGACCCTCCAGTGGGTTTTCAGAAGTAGTAAATCACTCTGGATATTACCTTTCTCCTGCTGGTAGATTAAAACCATGTGCCTTTGGGTTGACATCACAACTCCTTAACACTGAGTAATATCACTGCTAATTAAGCTGACATAAATATAACCTCAACAAACTTAGAATTTAGTGGCATACATAAATGTATAAACAAGTAATTTTAATAGAACGTGACAGATACCCAAATAAAATTCTGAGTGAAGTACATACCTATTGTATCATTAGGTCTCAGTTTCACACACTAAAATGCATATTCACACACGTTTAGCAAGGGGCTTACTACTTGGTGGTATAAGGGTGGTTGTTGTTGTTATGTGCCATCGAGTCGCTTGCAACTCATAGTGACCCTGTGTACGAGAGCTCTAAATGCCGTTGTATCCTGTGCCAACCTAGCCATCTCAAACACACTCGTTCCCACCACTCCAGTCATAGAATCGATCCATCTCATCGAAGGTCATCCTCTCCTGCGCTGCCCCTCCACTCTGCCAAACATCATGTCCCTCTCCAAAGATCAGTCCCTCCTTGCAACATGCCCAAAGTATGTCAGACGAAGCTTCAGAATCCTTGACTCCAAGGAGCATTCCGGCTTCACCTTCTCTAGGACAAACCTGTTTGTTCTCCTAGCAGTTCATGGTATATTCAACACTCTTCTCTAGCACCACAGCTCAAAGGCATCAATTCTCTATCATCCCTAACTGTCCAACTCTCTGATGCATAGCACGTAATTGCGAAGACTATAGCCCGGATCAGGCACACCTTAGTCTCCAGCCTGGAGACAACGTCGTTGCTCTTCAGTACTCTGGAGAAGTCCCTGAAAGCTGACTTTCCCAATGTAATTCGTTTCTTGATTTCCTGACTGCTGTTACCAAGAGTGTTGACTGTGGAGCCAAGTAAACGAAAACTGTTAACTATCTCAATCTTTTCACCATCCATACTGATGCTGCCAATTGGCCCAGTGGTGAGAATCTTTGTTTTCTTGATGTTGAACTTCAATCCATATTGGAGGCTGCAGTCCTAGACCTTCTGCAGCAAGTGCTTCAGGTCCTCCTCAGTTTCAGCAAGCAGGGTTGTGTCATCTACATAACGCAGGTTGTTGATGACTCTTCCACCAATCCTGATGCCACATTCCTCCTCATACAGCCCAGAATCTTGGATGATCTGTTCTGCATACAGATTGTAAAGGTATGGAGATAGAATACATCCCTGATGGACCCCTTTCTTGATTTTGAACCATGTAGTGTCTCCTTTCTCTGTTCTGATGACTGCCTCTTGGTCAAAGTATAGGTTTCACATTAGCACAATCAAATGTTCTAGGATTGGGTTATTACAAAAAGGGTCAGTGATCTGAATCTTTCAGCTCTTCTGCTGGAAAAGCAGAAATCTCTTAAGATTGACGCTTTAGCTATGGGTGGTTATACTCTGTCCTCCAGTGTCACTATAGGCTGGAATCAACTTGATGACAGTGGATTTTCTTTGGAAGTAAATGGAATCAGTGTTTGGATAGTTATGTAATGCACAATTTCATAACTGGAGCACTGTTGAAGTTTTGGGTATATTAATTATTTTTTGTGAGGTTAGCTCTTGTGCATTCTTTACCAGCATCCCCCACCTCTACCCTCTGTTTATCAACAGCACTCTTCATTCACCCCGTCATGAAAAGAAAAGTATACCCTTTACTAAATATCCTTGGGATAAGGGATTGAGGGCCTAATTTTCCATGATTGAAAAAAAAAGAGAATATACAACCCCAGACTAGTTACAATTCTATTTTTTAAATTTTCCCCCCTTTCTTCTTGAAGTTGTATATAAATCTTACGCTTATTGGAGTAGAGCTGGTCATAGAGTTTGCAGGGAGTTGTGTACTCTTAACTCATAAGATGGTACCTCTAGGCTGATTCGTATCTATCAGCAGCTCTGTGGGAGAAAGACGGACAGTCTCCTCCTGTGTAATTTACAGTCTCCAAAAACCCACTAGATGGTCAGCTATGAGTCAGTTCTAACGTGATGGTAACGAATTTATAAACTAACCAAGCTAATTGCTCTTGAACTGGTTCTAACTCGTGGCAACCCATTGTGCTGCATAGGATTCCCAGTGCCCTTTTTAAGGAGACTGCCGGCCATTTGGTCTGTGGTGCCTCTATGTGGATTTCAACATTTTTGTTTGCCCTGTAGGAAGTCCTAAGTTCTGTAGTTTTTATCAAATTGACAAAATATTCTGTGATCTAGTGATGTAGTCTAGTCTTCTCATGTAGTAGGTTATACTACAAAGACTTTTAAAAGATCATACAAGTTTATGAAAGTAATTTCTGTCAGATCCTTGAAGTACTCCTTTACCACTTTCTACTGTCTTAGGGAGAAAGATGGACCATCTCCTTCCAGGTGATTTGCTGCCTCTGAAAACTTGCTCATAGGTCAGCTATGAGTTGTTTCTGACTCTATGGTATACAACAGCACTGTTAGAAGCAGTCCTAGAATGACAAGCTTATGGACATGTAAGAAGCTTAATTGCCTAGTTTATTAATCTTTAAGTGAATTTTCCAGGAAATAACAGAGTCCAAATTACAATCTGGGACTCCTAGTTTGTGGATTTCTATTCATTCCAAATATGCTTTTTTTTGTATTTCCTTCACCCAGAAAAAGATGTCTTGTATTTTGGCACAAAATTCATTGAATGTAGTGTAGACCATTAAGTTTAATATGCTCTGTTAAGCTGTAATAGCATCTGTGTCTGGCGCCATTCCCTGGGTGGTACAGCCTATGCTTTGAAGCCAGCCAGCAGTGGCGTGAAACAAAGGCCTGTTGCTTAGCTTTCATAAAGATTGCAGTGCAGAAAACCCTGTAGACACTTCTACGCCATAACAAACAGTTGCCACCATGAGTCATACTCAGCTTGACTGTATATGCTTGGGATTTCTTTTTCCTTTGGTTTGGGTCCATATTTATTATAAAATAAACCTAAGCATTTCATTTCTGAATGTGGGTTTGATATACTTCTTTCATTCCTCTTCTCTGCTTGTTTTCAGGGGCTTTGAACTGAATTAGCCTAAAAGAGCTTTGCTGTTTGGTACTGAAGAAGATACAGTAATGGGGCCACGGAAGAAAAGTGTTAAAACGTGTCTTGTGAATAATGAACTCCCAGAGGAATCAACGTCAGATGAAACAAAGGATTATATGAATCAGCTTTCACATGAAGTGCTTTGCCATATATTTAGGTAACATTCTGTTTGGTTCGTCTTTGACACCTACCTGGAATATATAAGTAGGAACGAACCCTAAACCCTACACTATTAAGTATTATAGCCATCTCAGTTAACTAAAGTTGAAAGAGAATTGCTTAGTTACACTAAATGCATTTTAATTACTCAATAGCTATATGCGGCTGTATAGGATAACGTAGATATAACTGATTAAAAATAACTTGGTATATTACAAAAAAACTCCATTGTTTTGAATATAACAAAACAACTTGGCCTCAAATATAATGTGTTTAGGCTTCTGAAAGATTTTACTGACTGATGGATATGTTAACTTTTGTTATTACAGTAATATGTATGAAAGAAAGGTGAGTGAGTTTTTCTGATCTTTCAAAATACATTTATATTGTTGGAAGTAGAGAACAAAAATAAAAGTTATTGAAAGTTTGGAGAAAGAAGGGATAAAAGGATGGAAAAGAAATTGTAATTCCGAAGAAGTAGCCTCAATACTTATACAATTTTTTATCATTTTATTACTTAAAAAATGAAAAATCCAGGGAAAGAAATTTTGTGCTATAACTTGGTACATATTTGCTTGTGGAAAAAGTAATTTATTGAAGGTGCAATTGTGGAGAGGGAACAAAGAGGAATTTCTTTTTAGCCTCCGTGGGAAATGAATTCTATAAAATTAATGAATATTGGCCATGTTGAAATTAATCATTTCTCTCTAATCTTCCTCATATTCCATTATTAACAGACTTTTAAATAAGCTGAATTTTTTTTCTTTTTACCTTCTCTTTTTGATTCCTCTTTCCTTCTTCCTTTTAGATTAGATTTTCTTTGTCCATGATACCTTTTAAAGAGAAAAGGAGGTTTTATTAAATAACCTGCAGTGAAAACTTAGTACTTAGTTTTATCTGGACCTTATGTACTTGAATATTTGTTTAATTAACCCTTTGATATGAAAACCTCTATAACTTTATGTATATTGAACTTAAAATCATATGTCTTCTATACCTTGATCTTATTTCTTCTCTCAAGGGATAGGAGGATGGAAGAAGGAAATAATAACCTATTGGTGAGGGGAAGTGCTTACCCAGTGTTAAATATGAGTTTGTTTCTCTCACAAAGGTACCTCCCTCTGCAGGATATCATGTGTATGGAATGTCTTTCCCGGAAGCTAAAGGAAGCAGTAACCCTGTATCTGAGAGTTGTGAGGGTTGTGGATCTCTGTGCAGGGCGGTGGTGGGAATACATGCCAAGTGGTAAGTGAATTTAGCTTTTAAGGGATACTAGAGCCCTGCTGGAAAGTAATAATGATGCTATCAGACATCAAAGACACTGAATGTCACCATGTAAGTTTGGAGGTTGAATTTTATAAATACATTAGTAAGATGTAGCACCTAAATGATCTGCTTTTATAAAAAATTCCTGTTCCTTAGAAAATATTTCAGCTAATTTTGTTCCAAAAATATATATTTGAAAAATACGTGTTGAGCCTTTGCTTAATGTTAGAAAATCCATCTTGTGCTCTATGTTGTAAGTTTTTTGGTGGATAATAACATTCTGTCATAGGTTTTCTGAGTGCCTTGACTACAAGTTTACTTAAGTGGATGTATGTTTATTTGTTTTTTTAAATAAAATTTTTATACTGGTTTACTTATGAAATTTAAATACATTGTTTTTCACACCAGCTCTTTCCCGTTGTCTTTACTCATTTACCCACCCCTCCCTCCACTCATTAAATTGTGCTACCCTATGATTACCCCCCCCCCCGTCCTCATCCCTCTGCTTCCATCCTCTCCACCTTAGATCCTTATATACATTTTACTAGTTATCTGTTTCTACAATTGTCATCTTATATAATTGCCCTTATGGAACTGAGTTCACTTAGCATAATGCTCTCCATTCCCTCCTAAGTTAGGTAGTAACTTACAAAATCATCACTTCTGCATGCTGCATAGTATTCCAGCTGTGAATGCACCATAATTTCTTAATCCATTCGACTGTAGTTGGACATTTGTGCTGTTTCCATATTCTTGTAATGGTAAACGTTAGTGTACAAATCTCCATTTGTGCCTCAGTTCTCATTTTTCTTGGGGTGTATTCCAAGCAGTGGACTAGGTGGGTCATATGGAATTTTCTTTTTTCAGCTTTTTGAGGAAATGGCAAAACTGCCTTCCAGAGTAGTTGTACCCTTTTACACTCGCACTCACAGTGTATAAGAGTTCATTTCCCTAGTGGGTGTTATTTTGTAAAGTTACTCTAGTCAAAATAAAATATCAAACTCACTGCTCTCAAGTTCTCCAACTCGTAGTGACCCTCCATTAAATTCCTTTCACTGTAAATCTTAATAAGAGGAGGTGTACAATATTCTCCCCAGGAATAGCTGGTAGATTTGAATTTCTACAGTCACGCAACATTTTTTCTAATTGTTGTTGCTTTTGTTATTATGTGCCCCAAAGCTGCCTGCAACTCATAGCGACCCTGTGTGCAACAGCTCTAAAACCTGCTCTGTCCCTTGCCAATTTTATTGTCTCCGACACACCTATTTTCATTACCACAGTGACTGAATCAATCCATCTCATTGAAAGTCTTCTTCTCCTGTGATGTCCCTCCACCTCCCAAGCATGACGTCCCTCTCCAAAGCTTGATCTCGCTTTGCCACATGTCCAAAGTATGTCAGATGAAGCTTCAAAATCTTTGCCTCCAAGGAGCAACCTTGTTTCGCTCTCTCCAGGATGAACTTGTTTGTTCTCTTAGCAGTCCGTGGTATATTCCGTGCTCTTCTCCAGTACCACAGCGCAAAGAAATCAACTCTCCTATCTTCCCTAGTCATTGTTCAGCTCTTTGAGGCATAGCAAGCAATAGCAAAGACCATGGCTTTTTAGTCTCCAGACTGACACCGTTGTTCTTCAGTACTTTAGAGAAGTCCCTAACCACAGACTTTCTCAGTGCAACTCGTCTTTTAATTTCCTGGCTGCTAGTACCAAGAGTGTTGATTGTAGAGCAAGCAAACTGAAGCTGTGAACAATCTCAATCTTTTCATCATCTGTCATGATGCTGCCAATCAGCCCAGTGATGAGAATCTTTTTTTTCTTGATGTTGAGCTTCAATCCACATTGAAGGCTGCAGTCTTGACATTCTGCAGGAAAGCTTCAGGTCCTCCTCAGTTTTAGTAAGCAGGGTTGTGTCATCTGCATAATGCAGATTTTTGATGTGTCTACCTCCAATCATGATGCCATACTTATCTCATTGAGCCCAGACTCCTGGATAATCTGTTCCACATATAGATTGAAAAGGTATGGAGGTAGGACACATCCTTGTCACACACTCTTCCCAGTTTTAAACCGTGTAGAGTTTCCTTGCTCTGTTCTGACCACTGCCTCTCGGTCCAAGTGTAGGTTTCGCATAAGCACAATCAAGTGTTCAGGGATTCCCATTCTTCTCAGAATCAGCCACATTTTGTTATGATCCACACAGTCTGTTGCCTTTGCATAGTCAGTGAAACACAGACATTCTGCTGGTATCTGCTTTCAGCCAAGATCCATCTGACATTAGCTATAATAGCCCTAGTGCCATGGCCTCTTCTAAACCCAGCTTGGACTTCTGGCAGTTCTCTGCTGATGTGCTGTTCCAGTCGTTTTTGAATAATCTTCAGCAGAATCTTGTTTGCATGTGATATCAATGTTCGATACTGTTCGATAATTTTTTCTAATAGAGCACAGAAATTGTACTTGTCCTTTCTTAGCTGCTTTGAGGAGGTCTATTTTAGACCATAGGGAAACCTCGTGGCCAAGTAATAAGCATGTGTTGCAATCCTGAAGGCATGCAATCTGAATCCTCCAGCTGTCCTACAGGAGGAAGATGGACAGTCTCCTTCTGGCAATTAACTGCCTCTGAAAACCCTCAGGAGGATCAACTATGAGTTAGTTCTGGCTTGACAGTATACAACAACAACAGCAACAACATTTTAGACTATAAAGAGCCCTGGTGGCTCAGTGACTGAGTACTGCACTGTCAGCCAAAAAGTGAGTCAATTGAAACTGCTAGCTGTTTGTGGAAGAAAGGTTTGCCAGTATGCCTCTCTAGAGAATGGAGCCTTGCAAATTCCATGGAACAGTTACATCCTATCCTATAGGCTCGCTGTGAGCTGAATTGATTTGACAGCAATGGATTTGGCCTGGTTTATACTATGATCTGAAGATTCTCACATAAATAAGGCACTGACTTGGCACATGAAAACTCAACAGCCCTCTAATCACAACAAATGGACTTCAGTTAAAGAGGCCATTGAAAAAGACGGTGGCTGCAGCTAAGCAAAGCATAACTGAAAGGAAATGAAAACTGAGGCCAGGTGAGGAATGAGAACGTAATCATTTTGTCTGATTCTGCAGAGATTGGACTTTCTCTGAAATACTAAAATATTGAAGTACTAAATACTTTCAGAAGAGCCATCATACCTAAGTCATTATTTGGCTAAAATAATTATCATCTGTATACTTTATTGTGAAAAACCTTCCTAAGACCTGAGGCTTAGTTTGTTGGTTTACAAAGCACAGTTGCTTTAAATAGGGTTTATCTTATTCTAGAGAAAAATCTCTTAAGAAAAAGGGGGGGGGGAAAGGCAATGGGGAAATGACTGCCTTATCTCTTACATTTGCTTAAGTAATAGGTTAGTGTAGCAGGAATTCTGGAGATAAGATATAAAATATATAATGAAGAGTACTTCAGTTCTCAGTGATCCAATCTTAACACTGATATTCCTGCTGCTTAGAAAATAATTAGCAGATTGTTAACTTCTTCAAAATACCTTTTAACCCAGAGCTTCACATCTTTCTGAGAAATATAAATGAGCAAAACCAAATTATACTTAGTGATGTCATCTTATCACATTCTTCTATTTGTAAGTTCAACTCTGATTGTTTATATGGTGATGCCAACTAAGGTGATTATAGAGTACATTTGAATTTTCTAACCATCTGTTTTAAGACAGTAGAACTCCTGTTTCATGATGAGAAGTAATAGTTGACAAAAAATAAGAGACAGTGAATCAGGCTTGGTTTTGAATTCTGCCTGATTTTAGTAGTTCATAATCTCTGAATTTCAGTTTTTGCTTGTAAATGAGGTAATATCTTTATCATTGTGCCATGAGACTAAATGGGAAAAAAAACTTGTAATTATCACATTGAATGACTCAGCAAAGGTTATTATGAAAAGTAATTATTAAAAAAGATTAAAAGAGTGGATAAATTAGAGACCAAAATTGAAAATAGTACTGTTAGGCTGGAGAGACAACATCTGATTTTGTCTAAATTCCCAAAGTCAGAATGATCCCATAGTGCTGAGTCTGTGAAATTGAAGTCAAATATAGTCAGTTCTATACCAAACTATCTCTTCTATGTTAATCTGTTTCTCTCCTGTGTTGGGTAATTTGTTGCAGGAGCCATATCAAACTCATAGACCATACTTTATAGACTTTATTAGGGAAATAACAGTTTACAGTTTAGCATCATTGAGACTTCTAATCTGTTGGTACAGCTGGCCTTGACTCATCCCCTTGACTCACTTAGGCCTGACCTCTTTCCTGCTTGGGCAAGTGTTACAAGCTCTTTAGCGCCCCCAGTAGTTGTTCAGAGGTACCCCACCCTTCCAGAAGGCACTGGACTCTTGATAGGTCTTCACACGCATTGTAGCCATCTTACTCCCAAGGTTGGGAAGCCCATTGCACTATCTTGAGCTAAACTCAGAGTTCTGCTGTTATTACTTCTCACCATCTTTTGCCTTCACTGCTATGATTACTGTCTTTTGAGTCTGGGATGTCCATCCCAGTCCAATTGAGCTTATGTTAACCCAATGGTTGTTCAGTTCCACAAGTGGCTCCAAAGGAGAAAGATGGACAGTTTCTTGGAAGCTCGCTGGAGGCTTGACTATCAGTTGGTTCAAACTTGATAGCAATGAATTTAAGTTTTTTTAAGAAGTTAGTAGGCAGCTGATTTTTTGACAGCCTCTTTTTTTTTCTTATTTTTTTTTTTATTGACAGCCTCTTTTAAGGGGAAATTTGGAAGCAGGAGTGGCATCCACTTCCCAAACAACATGCCTCTGGAAATTGTATGAAATTTTTGAGAAACGACAGTAAGCTTCAGGTCTTTTGTTCATAGGGACACTATGAGTTGTGCTCGCCTCAACTGCAATCAACAATAACAATTAAAGGGGAAAAGGTCTCATAATAGATAAAATTGTATGAAATTTCTTTCTCTACTTACCTAACAAGGAGCCCCTCCTGTGGAAACAACCCACCCCTCTCTAGTCCATCTTGATTATTTCTTCTCTGAAGTAGAACTGACCTTCCAGATAACTAGCTTGCTTTTTAGCTTAGCAGCTTGTCATTTTGGATTAGTACTGATCTCTTAACTAATCTCTTGTCTTTTGTAAAAGAATGAATTGTCTAAAATTTCCAGGGGAGCACCACCTATGACAATTAGTTTTAAATTACTGAATGATCTCTCACAACTGGTATTGGACACTGTGAGAACCAGTAGAAACTTCTCACTGCTGCCTCCCTTTGAGGGATGCCCAAGGCATGCACCGCACTTAAAGAGTGGTGGTTCAGCACAGGCAGAAATTGGATAAATAAAAGAACCTAGCTTGAGACAGGAGTTCCATCAAAACTTCCTGAAGGAGTAGATCAAGATGATTTCTAAACGGAGAACTAGAGATTTTACAGACAGACCAGAGATTCTCTTTAGGGAAAGGAGAAGAATGGTGCTAATCAGGTGGGTGACCTCTCCTGACCTAGCAATCAGATAAGTCCAGGTCATAGGTAAAGCTGTGTGTTTATTGAGATTCTATGTCTTAAAAATCGCAAATGTGAAATACTAACTCAGAATAAGTGATATTTCTAACATGTTTTCTCTGTTGTTGAGCAGTATATTTTCTTTTGTAAATATTGGTTCATCTGTGATTGTAACTTTCTAAATATTTAGAATAATTTTTATAACCTGTTCTGCATATAAATGGAAAAGGTATGGAGACAGGATGCATCTCTGATGCACCTTTTCTGACTTTGAACCATGCGGTGTTTTTCCTTGCTCTGTTCTGAGGAGTGCTTCCTAGTCCAAGTATAGGTTTTGCATAAGCACAATAAAATGTTCTGGAATTCCTATTTTTCTCAAGGTTAGCCACAATTTGTTGTGATCCACATAGTCAAATGCCTTTGCATAGTCAATGAAATACAGAGAGACATTCCTCTGGTACTCTTTGCTTTCTGACATTGGCAATAAGGTCTCTAGTGCCATGACCGCTTTTAAACCCAGCTTGTATTTCTGGTAGTTCTCTGTCGATGGATTGTTCTAGTCATTTCTGGATAATCTTCAGGAGGATTTTGCTAATGTGTGACATTAGTGAAATTGTTCGTTAATTTCACCACTGTGTTGGGTCATTTTTTTTTGTTTGTTTGTTTGGAATGAGGATAAATACAGATCTCTTCCATTCAGCTTGCCAAGTAGTTGCCCTCCAGATTTCATGGCACAACTTGGTGAGCACATCCAGAGCAGCATCTATTTGTTGAAATACATCAATTTGTATTGCATCAATTCTTGGGGCTTTATTTTTTTTGCCAAGTCCTTCAGAGCAGTCTGAACTTCTTTCATCACCATTGCCTCTTGGTCATATATTGTTTCTTGACATTTTTCAGTGTCATCCACTTCCTTTTGGTACAATGACTCTGTATACTCCTTCGATCTTCTTTTAATACTTTATTGATCATTCAATATTCTACCCATAGCATCCTTAATCATTGAAATTCATGACTTGAACTAGTTCTTTAGTTCCTTCAGCTTAAGAATTGCTGCGTGAGTTCGGTCCTTTTGATTTTAGGACTCTAGCTTCTTGCACATTTCATGATAATTCTTTACTTTGTCTTCCCAAGCTGCCCTTTGAAATCTTCTATTCAGTTCCTTAACCTCTTGACTTTCCGCCTTTGCTTTGGCTTCTCAGTGCTCTAGCGCAATATTTAGAGAGTCTCTTATCACATCCATTTTGGTGTTTTCTTCTTCTTCTTCCTTCTTTGCAATGACCTTTTGCATTCTTCATAAACAATATTCTTGATATCTTCTCATAGCTCGCCTAGTCTTCACTCATTAGTGTTCAAGCCCTCAAACCTATTTCTGAATTTTATATTTTTTTTGGGAAGGGATAGATTCAAGATCAAATTTTGATTTCTGCAGATATAATTTAATCTCCTTTAGCTGTAATTAGAATTTACATATGAGTAGTTGATGATCTATTCCACAATCAGCATCTGGCCTAGTTTTCACTGATGATATTGAACTTCTCTAATGATTCCTTCCACAGATATAATAAATTTGATTCTTGGCATCCCATCAGGTGAAATCCATGTGTATTGCCTGCACTTATGTTTCTTATAAAAGGTATTTGCTATAAATAAATCATTGATTGTGCACAATTCTATCATTCTATTCCCAACCTTATTTCTGTCACCTAGTCCATATTTTCTAGCTATTAATCCTTCCTCTTGGTTCCCAACTTTTGCAAT